GGTTGGCTGGTTTCTAGTTTTCCCACGAGGCCATCAGTTAGTACAGGTCCAGAGGATGATGATTTCATCGCAGATATGTTGTTCTTAAATGCCGCGTCTTTATTTATAAATACTCGTCTTACGGAAACCTTATAATATTTTTGGCGAGATTGCTAGATGGGATTTCCTAATCGGCGTGCCGATCAGAGCACTTTGAGTGTGTAATTCAGTTTTGATGACAAATTTTGCCGTCAAATCGATAGCGTAGCGATGGAATCACACCTCGGACGTCTACTAGCTGATGTCTTCATGGGTAAACTAGAAAGCAACCAGCTCTCCGTTATAAAGACCCGTTTTTCCTCTATATTCGACATGTAGATGATATATTTGGAATAATTATGTTAATGTGACTGATTATGATGGACACATTTTAAAATAGCGATGCTTTCTTTTTGTGGAGGAGTTAGAGGATCGTTTGGTTATTATTGTAATTGTATGGGGAGGGGTTTCTTTCTCTGCCCTACCCCCTACCCCTTTATATTTCTGACGAGACTCTCCGGTGTCAGCGCTCCTGATGGAATCCATATTCGGAAGGAACTAAATGTGGGGTGCAATTTAAAAAGAAGTAGTATTGAAACGCAAACAGTCGCCAGGTGGCATGAAGAGCAGCAAGCTGTGCGGTGTGAGTCTGCACCTAGGAGTGCAGCCACACTCTCTTATGAGGCATTTGCTATACATGTGTACCTCTAAGAACGTCTGGTACCCTTATCTGCACCCCGTTGTGACCTAGTGCATCTATCGTATGACCTGTTCAAAAGTTAAACTTGGACACATGGTTGATAAATACTTCCTCTTTGCTGCCTCACTAAATTTGGGTGCGGTTGGAAAAACCACAGACGATCGCAGTCGTGAGAGCGTAGCGCGCGATTGAAGTGATTGAAATGCCTGAAAGAATAACTTAACGCAGACTTACATTTTAAGCTGTCCGGCCAAGAGTTTGATCTTACTGGTGGATAATAACAAACGTGCTTCAAACAGTCAGCAGCAGGCCATCCTATCTCGCATATACTTTCCTTCCACGAGCGACAGTTTTCTCCTTAAAATCCCTCAAAGGCGAAAGAAGCTTATGTAGGCCCATTCATATACTCCTAGTCCCAGCACTTTTTCCTGCAGAAATGGTGGTTATAGAGCTTTGGGGGGTGGGGAAATAGGATAGGCAGAGAAGGAAATTTTTAGAAGCAAGTTTTAAGTGAAAAAAATGTAGTCGAAGTTGCTTCCCGCGGCCGCTGTGAGTAAGTTGTTCCGCGTGTAAATTGAAGATTTGCGGAGGCTTCGCGCCGCGGACTTTACTAATCTAACCCCAGAACGGTAAGTTGGACCTCAGGTAAGTTGAATTAGACGACCTCCTAACC